GTTAAAATATATTTTAAAAAATTTACAAAACTAAACATCCTACAGTATTTTAACAGTCTTTATTTTACAGTTAAAATAAATGTTTATTAAATAAAGTCTAATGTTACAACTAATCATGGATCTCTTTAAACGATGAGGGGGAAGTAAAGCTAGGATTGTTTTGTAAAGATTGAAGCACTTCATGAATCTGTGGTGGACGAGGCAGATGACAGCGAGGCCTCGGAGCAGAGATAAAACCACGAAGGTTCTTGAGCAGTGTTGTTAGTTTTGTGCAGAGTGTTGACAGCTCTGCTCCCTGCAGGTTTGTGGAGTTCCTGGAGCAGAAACTCGCCGCTGCCAACGGCGGCGCTGGTGCCAGCAGCGGTGAGATGCTGCAGGTGTTGGACGCTCTGGTCCACAGGTTTCTGGGTGTGGATCAATACGCTAACGACAGCAGATACATCAACTACTGCATCAGATGTGTAAGTCTGGTTACTCCTCAGGACCACAGCAGCTGCATCCTCAGTCCCTCATCCCTCCTGTGTCCTGCAGGCGAGTCAGCGCGCCGACCCCATGGCTCTATACAGCCTGGTGTTCAGTAAAGGCGTCGGTACCAGGACCGCAGCGCTCTACGTGGCCTGGGCTCAGCAGTGTGAACAGAAGGGACTGAACGAACAGGCGGAGGCCGTGTTCCAGAAGGCTGTGGAGAACCAGGCTCAGCCGGCCGACACCGTGCTCCACGAGTACAGGTGATGTCACCTGACGCCTGCAGAGGCGTGCTCACCTCAGATCGTTGTTTTTATAGAGAGAAGCTAGTTTTGCTCTTCTGGCTGAAATGATTTTGTCTTCAAAACCTTTTAAGTTTTCAGTCCAGGTTTTCTACACCAGGGGTTCTTAATCTTTTTGACCTCGGGGCCCAATTTGTTGAACATAAAGTGACACGAGGCCCAGTCAGACTTTACCAACGTATGGATCAAAAGGATAATTACTCAAAATCTTGGTTTAATTTGTATTGTCCTGATGCATCTCAGTAATCCAGGTAGAAAAAATCAAAAAGAAAAAATAAGTAGGTCCTCTGGATGGGTTCTTCTTTATTGAAATGTTTCGTCTCTCCTCTAAGAGACTTCTTCAGTCTGATGAGTTTCAGGTGAACTCAGCCTTATAAGCACTGCCTCCACATGGACAAACAGGTTAGTCATATGCAAAAGAGGACCATCGCRMAACAATAGGCTTGATTAGCTCTYTTGTTCATAGAGGGTCATGTGCCTCATCACCTGACTTATTGGTTTGGATGCTGTGGTTCTTAGGTGTCTTGTCATGTGTATGTAGTGAATGCAGACGGGGCTTAAAGTCCCCTTGTTTTTGTTTTTTCCCTCTTTGTGTTGGTATCATTGGGGCCCTGATTCACACCTTTTGCTCACAGGGGCGGAGTCATGCTTGTAATAACAGCGTTGTAGGAGGAAGACAACTGGACACGGAGGCCTCCACCTCTGTTTAATGATGGACGGTTTTTCTTCACAAAAATGGCTTCTTTTACTCCTCTCAAACCAACGTTCCTCTCTATCAAGGATGAGAACATCTTCATCCCTGAAAGAGTGACCGCTGGTCGGTAGATGAGTGCAAACT